ATAACTAAACGAACTTTATGTTTGTACGGCAGTGAAGCATCAGTGCCAACACTGATGTTGCTGTCATTGATGATGATGATGATGACCTCCAACTTTCAACAGCTATGTTCAATTGCTTGCTTCTGGTGTGTTGGTGAAAAACGTCTTTTGGTCGATTGTATGGCGCCTTACCCAATATTCGGGTATCATTCAAGAAACGCGTTCTAAATTAAGGTTTTACTGTAGAGTTTTCTCGAACATTCCGAATATTTCTTGAGGGGAACGACAAAGAGAGTGCCTTTTCAACAGGGCAACCTATGTAATCACTGTTTAGAATTGGCAGAATTCAAGATCGCTTCAGCTTGCTTCAATAACTGGATTCGTCAGGTGTGCTGACATGGATTCGAATCTGCGTTTTCCAAATTTCAGGGTTGCCTGAATCTTTTCCTGCCCCTCATCAACATCTTCGCCGGCAACAACTCCAGCGTTGATCCGAGCTTTACTCGACTAACTCATGCTATCGTTTGGCTGGATAACCAAAGGAGGAACCAGAAAATTACAACTGTGAAATATATGAGAGGCACTCAATAGTGGATAGGGATTTAAGCTCGGGAGTAGAACCTTCTAGGGGTGCCGATTCCTTGTTAGTGATATCCGTTTACTATATAACAAACCACCTGTGAGGGTTATCATCTGGCCGTCGCACATTTACTATTTCGTGCCTTCCCATCAATTTTGACTGGACATTAGCGGCCCTTAGTCATCAACACACCCGCCTCAATTTAAACGGTTGATGCGCCATAAACTACGTGCACATATGTAGTGGTTCGTCCGCCGCCAACCGACATTTCCAACTGTGATACCAGACTTTGAGAGGGATGTCAAAATCGTGTATATCCCTAACGGGTGCAACCCTTCGGAATCCTTCGCCAACCTTGTTGAAATGTGGTTCACAACAACGTATGCGCGTTCTTAGGCGAGTGGAGTACCTTAGCCTCTTCATCTACTCGAAATTTTTTTACTATATTAACAGCTTTTGGTGCCTCGCGTATTTTTTGGTAAACAGATAGGGAGTTCATCATTATGGTGCTTTCAAAATCCTTTTAATTAAGACATTTTAAACAGGGGTAAGTAGACTTACGCCCTGTAGCTGATTTTTTCCTGGCGGCCTATAGGCCAAACTGGCAGATGCTTTTGGAGGTCTTCCGACCAATGGCGTTTATAAAAAATGGTCCAAAACATAGTCACTCCTTACCACTCCTCCACAAGTTTGTGACCAATGTGACCAATACTCGATACACAACCCCAAGAAAACCAACCATCTCCTGCAGTTCGTAACGCTAAGCCCCCCATTTCCCAACGTCTTCAGTGTCTGCTGAAGCCACTTTACATCCCGTGCACAATTGAGAACTGATGATGACGAGAATGAACTCTTCTAATTGTTCTGTTTCACTTCTCTCCTCAACCTTGACACTGAGGTCATTTTATTTGCTTAGAACCATGGATTTGGCGCACGAGATACCCAATCTTTTTGGGAGTTAAATAATGCCGATCCGAACCCCCATACTGTCAATTTCAAATTGACGGGTGGCCTCCATTCGGACCTTAGGAACCACAGTGTAGCAGACCAGTTATTTTGCCGTACCAAAGAATACGTCCTTTCATGTCACCGAATTCGACTTCTCCCTTTAGATCCGTGGCTCCGTTCCACTCTTCTGGAGTCAAAAACCCAACCTGCGATACAAACCCGCAGTTCTTTTGGGTGGTAGTCAACTGACTTCCTTCTCCGTGACTGCTCCCGTGGAATCAGGACAAAAGGTCGACGAGGCTAGCTTACAGGTTGCGCAATCGGCTATAGCACGCCACCACTTCAATCAACTAATCTACACCTATGGTTACGGGCGACAGGTGATTATAAATCTACTAAATCAGACTGGTATGGAACGCCCTCTGGGACGTGCGTTTGCCGAGGCCACGATGAACTTGGACGAGAATGAAGTGAAGTAAGTGGTCTGTTGTCATTCCCTATCTTTTGTACAAATGGACTCATTTTTGGCTCCCGCATATAGGGGGCAATTTTTATCTATCTGTCGCCCATCGGCAACCTGTCGGTACGATAACGATTTTAAAAACAGAATCCTAAATGTTGTGCGTTCATTGTGTTGAAAATACATACATGGAAGCCGATTGTTCATCTTGCGATTGTTTTTACTAAAAAAAACCAGGGACGTCGAGCCTTTCAGTTTGAGATGCTCGTTTCCACATGGTGTAAAGAAAACGCAGACCTCAACAGCCGTGACGGTGTCCCACGAAAGCTCTGAATTACTCCCAGAATGCTCAATGGCGGCTGCAGTGTTCGGTACGAGACTGGAGCTAAAGGTGCCAGTATCGTTCGATTCAAAATATGACACTCCTCCACTGAATCGGCACTCCTGTAGTGATGACATTTTATACTCCTGCTAACTCATTAGGGCAAGACCACCCCCAAGTCCTACAGCAACCAGCTTTGGGCACATTTCTGAGAGCGCTTTTCCTTTGTACGGGCTTCTCCGCTTTATCCACTGGGTTCATATGTTTGTTCTTCGTTTGTTAAGTTTAGCCTTGAACGAACAGCAGGTAGATGGACAGATGTGGGGCCTCTAGCGTTGAAGTGAATTACTGCATCGATCTTTGATTACCACGTGATGCTATCAGCCCGTCAACCTGTGCCAGCACGCTATGCATATGAGCAACTGTCTGAGGGAAAAAAACTGTTTGTCAGATCAATTTTCACAACGGTAACGCGTGCATACCAATCTGGATGTGAGGTCATACTGTTGGTGTGTAACACGCCGTGGCTTAAGGCCCGTCGTTTTGGGAGGGTATACTCTTGTGACACCCATTAAATCCAGCAGTCTATCAGATTGCTTCTTCTTTAGGTGACGATTCTCTTGAAATAAAATTATTTTAGAAACTTATACTGCTACCTTAACCACTTCAGGAATTTCGCGGCACGTAACTCCTATAGTCCGACCATCATCTTTCACCCACTTGTTTAAGCCGGAACTCATAAATTATCATCACAGTTGGTAGACACATTGTTCTGTCATATAGACCGTGGGTCAGCCCTAAAAGATGCATAATGTCTGGAAAGTCATTTGCCAGTCCGCTCGTCACAAAAGCGCGAGTCTCAATGCAAGGTGTGATACAACGGACAAACTGTCAAGTCAACGAAAGGTTACTCTGGCCATAGTAACAGGTTATCTGCCGTCACACCACGTCGTATGGCAAATAGAGGACCAGCTGGATCTGTTATCGAGTTTTGTCTCTAAAATGCCACAAATTAGGAGGGCAGTCAACTAGTCTTGAGGTAAAATGTTCAAGTTCACTTGGCGTGAGCGAAAAGACCTACATGAAAGTGGATTCGAAGCAGCCACAATTCTGCTTCCCGGACAGGGAAGCCAGTTGTCTGTTACAACCGTACATTTGAGCTTCACTGCGGTTGATTCCATAACATTCCGTTATTCAAGCAGATTATACAAACTCGTTGTCTTGCGCCTTGTTTAACCTCTTCTGTCTTTAACCTAATTCAGATACGAAAGCTTTGACTTCCACCGTGAATGTGGGTCAACGCGATGGGATCGACTAAGTATCCTTCTTGATCGTCTCATTCCTGACCTTCTTGCATCCGGGTAAGTTGTTATACCTTATATATTCTTTCTTTACCTTGTTCTAGCATTAATTTCTCTCGACGCCCTATTTTCCTCTGTGCAGACAATTTCATCTGGATTTGAACCACTCCAAAGTTGTCAGTAGACAAACCGGTGTGTTCCGAAGCAACTGTATTGACTGCTTGGATCGCACCAATGTGGTACAGTCAATGCTTGCTTGGTGTGCCCTTGAAAGGGCACTCATCACCATCGGCCAACTCAGCCCACAGTCAGCCTCGACATCAGCTTCCTCGAGTACCAATTCCGCTTTAGCTCAGATGTGGCCTGGTTTTGGATTCCGGTTCCGGTCTGTTTGGGCAGATAATGCTGACTACTGTTCACTTCAGTATACCGGCACCAGGGCACTAAAGACGGACTTCACGCGGACAGGTATGACTACGATGGACTGTCTGTTTCACTTCATAGTTCGACTTTCATATGTTGACCTCAGTTCCTCCATCTACAGTTTATCGTAGCTATTTACATGCACAGTTCGGTATGCCTGTGGTGTCGATCGACTAATGTCACGGCTGTGAATCCTCTTCTTGTGAGAAATAAGTCACTTCTCCACTCGTGAAAGTTGAACCAGCTTGGCTGACTAGTTCAAACTGACTGATTGAAAAATGTGTCCGCACACCATTTGGGAATTCCACACTAGCAGTCTTGTCAGCTAGTATGAATGTCTGAAAAGCAATATGCAGAGCAAATCGCCGGTGGGTTCGGTCGGGAACGGCTACTACAGAGGACATTGTATAGGGTTTACTCGTGAATCAAAGTCTATCAAATTGCATCAAGGTTGCTTTTGTCTATGGATATGCATGAACTTATTTGTCACCACTAACTAAATACGGACTTGTCTGATGATCATATTGCTTCCTCCTAGCGAACTTACGAATCAATCTCTTCTCACAAAGAGATTTTTGGAAGGCGCTATAACAAAACTTGATAATTTTCCAACTGTCTTGCTCTCACATCAGTATTGTATCCGTTAACGAAGGTGAGCCTCGTAATCCAACTGATCTCATCCAAGTAAACTGTAACCAGAAAGTTAAAGTGGCCATTCCGCAACTTACAGTGTCGTTTTATTCGGTCTCCGTGAGATCTTTCTTGTTTGGGACTTGTGTTTTTACTGATCTCCAACCGAGTCGCTCCTTTTATTTCTCCTTCGATGGCCAGTTGAACAGAAAACGCCAGTTTTTATCACACGTGGTAGGATAATTGGGGTCCTCAGTTATTAGCGTAAATTTTACCATTTCACTCTGAAATCACACGCGGAAGCTGCGATGGATAAATGCCACAACAACTGGCTAGGTTTTCGAGAAATATGCTCATTTGCAAATCAATTTGGTTCTCACGAAAGACTCAACTGAATTCCTCGTTTATGATATTCTACAACTGAATTTGCTGTGCACAGACCGCATCATGTTTCAGTTAGCACGATATTCGAGATAACGCAGTATATTTCCATAAAGGAAACTACTCACAAGGTTGCTGAAAACTCTTCGACAGGTTCAAGTAGAACATAGGGTTGACGGAAACCTGATGGGACCCAAGAAGGGCGAAACCGGTCGTGGGCTGTCAAAGAGTCTTCGGCAACCTTGTGAGTAGTTTCCTTTTATGAAAACTGGCCAGGTTGTTTAAACGTAGTATATTAAGATAAGTTTTTTGCTTCGAATTCCTTTCTACGGAGATACTCGGTGCGAGCAGACTGCTTATCATACTGTTTCCTCCGTCCTATCATCAAAGTCCAATAACCAGAGCAGAAGTGCTTCCCGGGCGTTCAGCCCAGTTTGTCGAGTACTCACTGGGTGAATGGTCGGACCATGCAGCAGTTCGTTTTTGTATATTTGTTTTGCTCCAGATTTGGGAGATGCAAAGTCCCAGCACAACATTGATCGGAATCCAACCCAGTCCTAGTGTTTTGATGTTTTTGATGTTCAAGTTTGTGTGATCGGTTAGTCCCATCAGCTCGCGAACAACAAAGCTATCCTGCTTATGCCCCACTTCACCTAAAAACTTTCAGATGTGGTACCCTTGTCTGGCGCATTTCATAGTGCTAAACACTCGCGCGAGCTGACGACCGAGCGTCTGAAACACCGCTCACATCTGATTCGAACTTCATATCTGTAGTACCGAGTTGACTGGCTTTTAAGGAGAAGAACACACGCTCTAGGCAGACGATTGACTGCATAGACGACACCATTTTGGTCAACTGTTCCAAATACCAAAACACTTCCTGCTTTGCTGATCTCGCTTCGCTCAATAGTATGCAGGATGTAATCGATGTAGTGGCTTGGTAGCGTGGGATAACATGCAAGCTAGCAGTCCATCGCTTAGGCAGGGGAACATGGCTAGCTATGGACCCAATGACATTCATGAATCATTTTTTGCCTTCGGTTCATTGCTACTTTACCCCTTCATTTGTAATGAGAACACATGTAATCAGTGTGCTATCATTTCTGTGTACAAACTCTATCACCTAGTTGTCGCTGAACAAAACTGTGATATCTGGAAGCACTCTGTACTGATTTTCAGGCCGCTTACGATTTCGGCTTACAATTCCTGATCGAGCTCACTTAGTGGATGACACAGTATCGGTCACATGATGCTTTGATTACTGGAAGACAGCAGCCATAGGCTCCGTTTGCACACATGGTACATATGAGTGGAAGTGATTTCTTTGTTTATACGCGCCAAGACGTCCGACTACTAATAGACACTTAGTGATAGTCTCTGAGATGTGTTCTAGCTTACAAACTGGCCAGTTCAATTCTGATCCGCCACGTCGGTGGTCAAGGTAACCGAAACTGTTGATACAAGCTCTACTCATAATTTCCTCCCAGGTTGGTTTCGTCAAATAACCACAAAAGAACTCATTTCCCAATTGAATAAGTCCTGTGTTTAGAGGACAGAGCTGACCTGTGAGGTCTATTAGACTTCTTTTATCACAGACACGTTCTAACACGATATTCGCTAACAAGAATCCGCTCTAGTCAAATAACTACCTGTGCATCTTTCGGCTCCTCTTTCACCCACAACATATCAGTATGTTGAATTAACCTTCGACTCGCCGTGACTCAGAATAGTGTTCCAAAAAATTGATTGATTCTTGAATTTATTGACCCGGGCTTCCCAGGATAGAACTGCACACCTTTAAAAGTATGACTGAGGTATGCAGGGGGCGAGATGGCCCAAGTGGTTAGAGCCCGAATTTAATGACCGGAAGGTCCGTGGTTCGGATCCGACCTTCGCCACTCGACTTCCCCTGTCAAGGCTTGGGCAACCTGGCAGTATCCCAGCCCTCGTGCTTCCTTCGGGTAGCATGGCAGCTAGGCACCGGAAGGGTGTTACAGCTGAACGCTATGCAGAGCTCCGAAATTTTTAGAAGAATCATAGCAAGCATTTGATGGCTGCCTCCATGTGAGGTTACCAGGTTTGAAGTAGACATGCTACCCTTCGTAACGTAAAAAAAGAGTTTTCACACTAACTGCTTCATAATCTCTTGCAACTTCAGCAACCAGTTATCCCGTTTAGTCTATTGTTTTTTCGTTATTCTGATTACTCCGATCCCATTCAAAGCATCATGCACTAGATCTAGGCACAATAACGCTGTGTTCTATGGTAATCCAGCGAAACTAAATGTTCCACACATCGTCCCGTGTTTTCATCTTCGTTCGTGCTGCATTCCATACAAATATTCTCATACTGGACGTATCTCTTCGCCAAAGAGTGCAGATCAATCGGATCACTTTGCTATCCGCGCGAGGTTTAAGGTTAACAAATAAACATCACCCGATAAATAAGTTGTTGGAGCACAATTCATCTCGAACTTTCAAGTGTTAATTTGCTTGATTTAAGTGGTCGGTTAAACGTTCTAAAACCACGACCCTTCGGTAGATTTGTGACGGAGGGCTACTGTATATCCACAAAACTACAGGAAAACCGACACTTGAATTTGAAGAACGTCTCTTTCCCCACAATCGGTCTTCTTGTGGCTTCGGTGCATTTACGCGTTCATTTCTGGTAAGGTTCACCTGCAGCAAGTGCCACTTTCGTAACCCCAGAAACTGGCCCATCTTCTACTTCATCCGAGTCACTGATTCGTTGTTTTTTGCTCTTTCATTAGCATCAGTTATACCTCAATGCGTTTCTTCATCTCTGACCTTCTAGGTAAGCGAACACTACGGGGCATGCTGATGGATGGTTATCATTCCCTGTTGCGGTACTACATGAACAATTTCACGGATGGTTTTCGTCAAGATGCGATGCACCTCTTTTTGGGTCAATATCTGGTTCACGATGCTGACGGAACCCCAAAACCCCTTACTGGGCCGGGCGGTCGTGGTCGGAGAGGTTCCGGTCGGGCCGACACAGAATGGCGCACGCAATTTCTGCCATTGGTATTCACCTTCGCTTTGGCGATGTCAGTTCTTTGCGTTGCTGTCCCCACAGGTCAGTCTACCGGCGATGATCTACATTAAGTTCCGTTCTCACGTACAACTCTGCCTTACTGCACTGACCGACATAGAGTTCAATGCTATGGACTGCAAGGGAAGAGACAGACTGTATGGGCGAGAGTATGATTTGGGAAGCGCAGCTTAATACGCCAGTCGAGAGGCACACTTGTTATATTAGCAGCACAAAAATGAGGCATTGTCTCGATGTTGAGAATAGTGTTTAAAGCCAGCATTCTTGTTAAACAAGGCAAGTAGGTATATAACGATTTACTAGACTTGATAGGGCAGTGTAAGGTAGGGATTGAAGGTTTGCAGGGCAGTTGCAGCTAGCATGGGAAGGGGTGGAGAACTCTGAAACGAAACAGAAACCGAGCTTTTCCATGAACCAAAGTTGCAACTAGTTTGATGTAAGAGATGATCTGGGAAGATCACTGGAAAACTCACGGGTGTCTATGTAAAGAAAGGAGTGTGGGCTAAGCGGAACACTGAATCAGACAGATTACTCAACGGCTCAGTGAACCATGGATCACACCCCTACCTTCGTTTATTTATATACCCGTGAGTGTCCACAAGGACGCACCTGACTCCTCTCTGCTGCCATGTAAATCGGTTGAACAATTATGGGGGATGAGCGGAACGGTCAGGTGATTGGTGGGCTGGGGCTAGGTCCGTTGGAAAATAGGACATCGGAGCTAAACAGCGGAGGGACAGGTAGACGTTTGGGACGGTTGAATATAACGACTTTTGACAAATCCAAACTGAAAAATCGCAAAAGTGGGCAATGAAGTGCAGGTTGCATCATTTCGCTGGTGCAGTCGCTAACTGGGTGAAGTTCATTTGAACAGGGACAAATTTTGTGGAATGGAAGCTAGACAAATCAGTAGACAACAAGGGATTCTGGACAGAAGGTAGGCAAGTATGAGCGATGGACGCTTTATAGGGTGTGTCTTACAGTTTCTGAGGAAGGAGTTCAGCTGTAGGACCCAGTAGACGATTTCTGAATGTTGAGTCCACTAGTGGTTGGTCGTCGGATCTTCCCGGTAATTTGATTCAGTTTTTATACATGCTGCAGGAAATGAACAAGGAATGCTTTATCTATTGACTGATATCCGTATGTCCAGTGTGCACACAGTCATAACCGTCTTAATAACGGAAATACCATCTTCCGACCACAAGCATTCGTTGTGACTTAGTCCGATGGATATTAAGGTATTCTTTGTTCATGAGTGGGCTCAAGTAGGAACTCTTGTGTGTGGTGCGGATGTTCGTCACCAATGGTTTAGAGTTATTGCCTGCCATGGTGGTTGTTGCAGACTGCTCACCCGGCCGATTGGTTGGTTGTACTTTGTTACTACGCCTTGCGGATAGGCCGTTTGTCGTACTCAGTTTTGTCCACTCTTTAAATTTACTTTGCAGCACACTGGACCGAACAGGTCACGTACGTGCTATTTTGGGGCACTGCGTCTGTTCTCTCCGCGTTCGCCATATTCGCCTACGGTGAAGAGTTTGTTGATCGCCCTCGCTTCTGTCCGGACTAAACCGGGACAACACCGTCAGAGCCTGTGATCATATCCTTCTGTCCGGACTAAACCGGGACAACACCATCGTCAGAGCCTGTGATCATATTTCTAGGTTACCCTCTTCGCTGCTGGCATATTATAGCTCTTATTGCCCAGTCTGGAAAGCATTGATGCCCTCTTGTCTCGTCTTACCTTGAGCCCGATGTGCACTGTTTTTGTCTTTCAGCACTATTGCCACAAATCTGAATGTAAATCCGAATATTGGTGTTCTTCGTATCACTGCCTACAGTGTTTTGAATGCTTACTTCTCAGTATTTGTACTGTTCTTTGATTTGTCTAAAAGCCAAGGATTCTTCTGATTCCTGCTTCACTTTAAAATACCGTTCCTTTCAGTTCGGACATTTGCAGATAGAAATGTCTGGTTGGTTTATGTCCCGACCTAAAGCTGTTACATTGTCGTGGTGGTTGGGATTCTTTGCTGCAATGATTCTACTTGTGGGAACCCCGGGACTCAGTTCATCAGTGGTTACTAACACTGGCAGAAATGACCTAATCGCGCGGTCAGTAATGCTCACACATCAAAGCTATCGCCCTCAATGCGTAGTCACAAGTTCCCCAACGAATCAAACATGTCATCGCCTCCAAGGATTGGCTATACTCTCCCACTTTCTAGTGATCGAAACTGTAGCAGCTGGAACCATTGTGCCTATAGCAGACAGTTTATTGCTGATAATTGATTGAACTGATTGATGAGTTGTTCTTTGGTCCAATCATATGTGGTCTACAAGGACGAATGCACAAATTCGGAAACCTTCGACTTGTGGACCAGGTTCGAGCAGACATAGTGGGATAACTATGAGCATACATTCCGTCACAGATGCCTAAGCGTTCCAAATATCTAGCACTCCGAAGAGTCGAAAGTTTGAGATCACCTTAACGGGACGGTCGTATACGGAACATCAGGTCAGTAATGCTGAAGCATGCCAGGTGATTCTTCTGGAAGATAGATCAGCTGGTCGCACTTTACAGGTTACCCTGGCTAGGCCATGTGTTTTCTATGTCAGAAGACCGTTCGCCTCATATGGCTCCAATGGAGAGAATCCTGTGGCAGTTAGTTCATGGCTTGTCCACGTTGCGTTAGCAATAGCCTTCCCTCCCCGACTGGGAGCCCTTGCACAAGACAAATCAATAGTTAGTGACCTTGACAGATATGACTGTGTCATGCAGCCAATAGTGGTCTTGCGTCCAAGCTTCCACCTTCACTGCGTTGCTCTCACTGCCTACCACATTAGATGACCTTAACCACTAGGTTAATGAGCCGCTTGTGCCATTACCTCCAATGCGTGCCTCTCATTTTTTTGTTCTCATCCTTGGTGAACGAAGGCGTATTGGCTGGGACCATTGCATCTCGGTGCATAGTTTCTGAGCCTAAGAACTGAAAGTCTTATTCAACGTCCTACTGTCGTCATATTTGAATTGAATACGTAGTCACCATGACAGCAATTTCGAAGAGATGTAAGCATTTAATGTTTGGGTTGTGGTAGGACTGCAGGCTAAGATCACTGAAAACCAGCTGGCACGATGGAGGGTATAAAGTGTGGAAATACATGAAGTAGGTTTCATCTAAAGTGTCGTTGGTTGAACCCTAACAAAGTCTAGCCAAACATAGAAGAATCTCCTGAATGGACAGACTGTACATAAGTTTGCTGGAAGCTTCGGTACCCCATGACTGCTTTGGTCTTTCGTGGTGCTCCTCAGGTAGACGCAGTTCCAATCCGCCAACTAACTTTATGTTCTTGATCTCTCTGTTTCTGGACAGCTAAGATCACTGAAAACCAGCTGGCACGATGGAGGGTATAAAGTGTGGAAATACATGAAGTAGGTTTCATCTAAAGTGTCGTTGGTTGAACCCTAACAAAGTCTAGCCAAACATAGAAGAATCTCCTGAATGGACAGACTGTACATAAGTTTGCTGGAAGCTTCGGTACCCCATGACTGCTTTGGTCTTTCGTGGTGCTCCTCAGGTAGACGCAGTTCCAGAGTTTCCGCCAACTTTATGTTCTTGATCTCTCTGTTTCTGGACAAAACCGATTTAAGGTGTTAAAGGACCACAGTCTGCGTCAGGCACCGTTTTGATGGACCGTAAAGGATACGTCATTACGGTTCATCGCGTCGGCTTTTTTTGTTGGCGGTTCTTGGCACTTCATTACCCGGTAGATTTGAGTTGCTGACGGGACAGTTTTGTTGTAGCGTTTCCTCGTAAGATGTGAATAAAACGTTGCGGTCTGGTGGGGTCGTTTCTACAAAGTTGAATTGCAGTGAGAGAAATTCCGCGCTCTTGAAATGATCCGGAGGCGAGCCGGAACATCACGCGCAGGCTACGAACCAGACGAAGTCATCTTGATTTGTCAGACTGTCAGCCAATCAGATGGAGCATTTATAGCTCGGCCCTTCTTTCCCCCTTCATGAAGATTCTAGTACGGCCTCGTGGAACATTCTGTGATGATCCTATAAATACGGTTGTAGTAATCTTTTATCTCCATTAAGGACTGCCTCAAGCTACTGTACCATTCGATGTACTGCAATGGGCGGAGCAGGAAGCCAACGACCGACATAGAAGTTGAACTGCCGTTAGCAAGTTACAACACCGATCGAGCCGAGCAATTAAATCACCGAGTTGCAGAATACCATATGCCAGTGTTGACACTGGTGATTTGCTGACATTTGTATCCTCAACTGCTGACAAATGTTAAAATAGTTCACCGGGATGAATAACTTCGCCTTTTGGTAACTTTCGCACGTCGTCAAGGTCTTCAAAGATTCGAATTTTAAGTGCAGTTGCTACTTCATGCTAATGTGTTGTATTAGTAAACCGCCGTCAAATGAAAACATTCACGCTAATCTATGTGCACTACCTAGGACGATACGCAAAAATGCAACTGGGATATCTTTGGGATTGGACAGCCCTCATAGTACAACCGTCGAGCGTAGAACGACTAGCCTACTTGTTGTCCGAAAACCTAGTTTTCCTGAATTGTCACGGTGGAGTAGTTTTACTGAATTGTCACGGTGGAGCTAATCAAATAATCCACGCAAACGGGAGCATTGCTGATTTAGTCGTCATGTGTCTACTTGTTTGTCCGTATGTACTTCTCGATGTTGTGATTTATCAATCATCGTTTGACCGACAACGCACCCTGGGTTGTGGTGTTGACGCTAATTGATGTCTATCACATCCAAAAAGCTACCTGCGTTTCGGATTACGCATAAAAAAGCTTCCGGGATGGGTGTTGTCGTTACAGGAGTCGTAGGCGTGAGCTTTGTACAATAAAAATCCAGTCACTTCGACTTTGAACTTTGCGAAGCTCTTTACTAGTGTTCTTTTCGAAAGGAAATTCCGGTATCCCCTGAACGTTTTTCTTCGAGTAGAGAGTATTGTACAGTAAAGCCTGTGTGGAATGAATAGTGGTGGGACTGGTCAGGGCGCTCGTCCTAGGGGGGTTTTCGCTGTGGTTTAGCTAGCCTTTTGTGGTCTTTAACGAAGAGATGGGAAATCAGGAGTTCAACCGAACGGGTCAGATTGTTCACTGTATGGAAGTGCTCGCAACAGAGGGTTTTTACCATATTTCACAGACATATCTCGGTGTGCTCGTGGTTCACTATCATTGACATCAACACCGGATGTGGACATTGGTTCTTCACTCTCGTACAACGATAACCATATGATTGATGACGGGGAATGGCAAACAGTAGATGATATTCCAAATGAGATGGTCAGACACTTTGAAGAGATGTCTATGCTTCTCCCGCGATCACCGGCTCTTAACTGCCATTAAAAACAGTATTACAGAGCGAAAAGGATAGGGAAGTTTAGGGCCTGAGTACAAGGTGCTCCATCGTTCTAAGGAAAAACGATCAACAATGTGTTCGTACCTTTGAACGCGCCAGACTTGTCGAATACAGACTTGTCAATCACACCACAAGAAACTAACTGGGCGGTCCCGTCAAGAAACATTAGGTAGCCTAGGTTACGTGTGGTTTAATCCAGAGTTTATGGAGTTGTACAGAAGTGATAATGTAGATCCCAACCTGGAAGATGCCAAAACCAAAACTGTTTTCAGTTCCGACTGTTATCTTATTTTTTTATCCCCGCGAACTCTTATTCGATGAGGATTTGGACCAGGGACAGCACTTCATCTCTGGTAGATGCTGATTGGGAGTGCTTGATATGACCCGGACACCTCAACTTCGTAAGTCTTATGTGTTCTTTAAATGACTTATTCATTATCACTCAAGGGCTTGGGCACCATTTCTCTGCGGACACAGTGCATCTGCCTATGACCTGCTGTGCCAGAAGGCACGAGTAACCAGATTTCCTATAAGCACTTGAGGTCTTCAGGTCGGAGGATGCACGTAGGACAACTCCTACAGTTGTTTCTTGTCAATAAAACCTGGGGCTTCCAGGAGACAGACGGTTGGAAGATCACGGAACAATACTTTGCACTCCCGAAGCTCAAAACAATTCCAATAACAAGGTATCACTTTCGACATTCCATTTTGGTTGGAACGTTCGAATCAATGATCGTTGGACTAAGAAACGGCGTTCCTAGCGTGATGTTAGCCCATTAGTTCCTCCCTGGCGGCTATGGTTTGTATTCTAGTCGTCCTAATGACAAGGTTGAATGTCAAGGAAGTATAAGACAGCCCTGACATATCCAACTTTTTTTTGGAATCCACGACACTGCCAAAGAGTGCTTCATTTCTTAACAGGTGAGCAAACGCTGTCAACTGAGTACATCGTAGAATAACCCACATCCTTTACTTTTTTTATCGAGGTTTTTGATTTCTTAGAGAATGTTGGAAACTTGTGAATCGCATTCCCACCGACGTTCGGTCACGATGGAGCTAGGTTGAGCTTCTGGATAACTCTGTGCTTCGTTGCCCACGGTTGTGATGAGCACATATCGTCTGCCCGAACATGCCACAGCGGGCGCACCAAAAAGCCAAGGAACAATACAGTAGCTCTTCGACCTCAACATATTCCATTGGGAGGTCCACAACAGTTTAGTGACCGCTTCCCTCGCCTCACCTCCCACAGGGAACTTACATCCAATTCCCACAAAATGGTCATGAGAAACTTAGCATATATGGCTATGGATGTAGTTTTATTTCCCCAGTCGCACCTCATAATTACCGATAACAGCAAAACAGGAGAAAAAGATACCGCTTCTGCACCTAATTCAATTTGTTAAATTTTCCTATGACTTTCCACTACAGAAGCTCACCAAGTTAAAATAAACTGCACCAGAAAGTGTCCTGGAAGTTCTGCACAATAGGGTCAAATTCTTTGCTTCAGTCTGAAGGAAAGTTCAAGGAAACCAGTCTTGAATTTCAACAGTACAACTTCACTTATTTCTCAGGATAGTTGTCAGAAATGGGAAAATTGCGGAGAGGTCCCTAAAATGTGAAAGTTGCTCTAATATATTATTTGAACGCAGGAAAGTTGTGCGGTTTTTTACCAACTCGCACAAGTACTGGCGTCCAGTTCGTACCGATATGTTATCCACATGCAAATCGTTGTGGAGGCATAATGTGGGCACAGAGAGACTCATTTCCACCAAGCTTTTTTGACGTTGATTGAGGCACTCCATATGCGCCAGTTTTGCTCCAAACCGATGTGGCATGAGTTTATCCGTGTATGTGCAATTCATGGTTGTACGTGGGCTGGGATACTGCCAGGGCGCCCACACCTAGACAGGAGGACGATTAGGGTCCTCAACCAAAGCCTTTGGCTCAAAAGCCTAACCGCAAGGCAGCGGTGTTTGGCGGGAAATGCAAATGCATTACCATTTCTACGGAACAAGTCGCCATACATGTTCCAACCCCCAACCTGGAGGACCAGGAGACTGTGTTCGTCAGACCTCTAACCATTGACCAACCTGGTGTGAGAGACTCTGTGAGTGTCACACTCCACTCTCCAGTATAGCTCAATGGATCGCTGAGGTGCGCAAACCGTCACACCACGGTAAGGTCCAGTCTCTTCGTGACGGCAGCATCGGGGGTGATGCTCCAAACCGACAAGGAACCTCTGAGTAGCCTGACGAAATTGCGGTCTCATATCAGACTGTTTGAAACATTAAATAGTGCGCTATTCGGTCATCTTTACAGTCGCTGATGGTACTCACTTTCGTAGCTGAGTTTCATGGCTACCAATGTGAGGCGGGACTTTTTGGGAAAGGAGTCTATGTAGTTCCGTGTGCATTTTGAGCTCTATCGACCCAACAATATAAGATATAGATCTCAAGTGCCGGATTTAGTTTCAAACAATTAGCGGATTGAATACGGGTGCTATCACTGATAGATGAATGGCGCACACACCACGTCGACGTTATCCCGGTTCAATTGCGGATGTGGCTTGCCGCTACTAGTCTATTAGGACAGGTGTTTCCGATACACCGTTTGCATTTACCACCTGCGTTTCACAATGAGCGATTGGTCGCCCCCAAACCTTTGGCCATTGATTGGCTTCGCTGGGTCTACAAGCCTTACTACTTACAAAGACCATAGCCAAACGGTTCCCTCGGTGGTTGTTCCGGAATCAAGACAGTTAGCTCAACGCCTTTCGACGAAGGTTGACTGTGTTTTCACAGTTTGCTACGGAGAATCACTCTACATCTGTGTAGGTTGATTTAAAACCTGTAAAAAGCAATCGGATGCACAAAACTAAACAAAAACCTTATTCGAATGTATCACAGCATAGGTATCGTCGGTCGCCATCTAATCAATGGTTTCTAAGGAAATCTGTACAGATCATGCTGGGTTTGAAGAAGTTAGCGAGAGTAGAACAGATGAAAGTCGAATTCGAAGCTCAAACCTGGAGAAAAATGAATATGGCATTCCGTGGTTAACGAGACTTGTTCATTAACATTGATCTGCCTGGTTCTGGTGCCAGAACTGGGTTTTGTTCCACTGCCAAATCAGTGGTACGTAAGACCGATTTCAACTGACCAGTACCATTGTGCCACACACGTTCAGCTCTCTGTCGATGCATACTTGCAATCCGGTTAACAGAACCTAGGTTTTCACACGTCTAGGTTGTAGTTAAGGTGTTGAAGATGAACAAGCTCAATAGACTTTAGAGCAAACGTTTGCGCGGATATCCACTTATGTGCTGCAATGGTATGATTCGTGTCATAGCTAACCACAGCGTCCGGACGGTACAAATTCACGCAGACCTGAAGGTCGGGGGTGTGCTTCTGTGTACGGAGCAGCATTCTTATCGCACTTGAATTCCTGACTGACTAGATCAGAACAGTGCTGCTATCTAGGGTGTTGATTGCTGTTTCGACAAATTGAAAATTTACTAAATTTACTTCCCAAATGGATGAAATATTTGCGATTTATTTCCTGAAATTATCAGCTTGTTTCCTTGAACATTCGTTGATACACTTTTGGGTACGACGACAATAGATCAGACATTTCCTGAACTAAGAATCTGTGTTGTCAATGGACCACACTATCAATGAGACAAGTCCTGGTAGATGACAGCTTTCGAGCCCATGGAAATCAATCCAACCAAGATTTGTTTACGCTGGTTCATCTGATCAAAAGGAGATACCTCAATGAGCACGCTGGGGTTTGTATAAAGCACCTCCCCAGTCAAAGTAAACAATAGACATTGAGAAACGGTGAGAGTTGCTCACCAGAACATCGATAAGTATCCGGTTCAGCACTGGTCTTATTGAACAAAAAACTGCTGGCAGCAGTATATCACAAACTCGTTTCGTTTCCAGAATGCAGTTCAACTCGGTTCCCCCCCCCCCACCTCATTAAGCACGAACTGGGAGGTAAACCAGTCTCATTACTATTCTATTTTCTCTTACCCAGTTCCACAGTGCGCCCAACTTCCGTTAATATTACCTTTCCAATTGTGATTCACCCGATATATATATATATATATATATATATATAATAATTTACTCCTCGCCAGCGTGACATCACGTGATCTTACTTGGCGCGCCGACTGTTCTGCAGTTCTCCGGCCTTCTCATCCACATGAGGTCATCAACATTTGCGAATGTCATTCTCGATGGAAAAATGTAACATCACAGTAATAAAGAATGAGCTGTGATGGGAATTAGTCTATGCATGATATCTTACATTGTGACTAGCAAATAACCATTGGACTTAGCCAAGCTCCCTCAATCGGAGAAATAAAGGTCGCAATGGACCACAATTCGTTGTACCGGCAAATATTCTCACGACTATTAGAAATACACTTCCGGAAAAAAATCACCAAAAATAGGGCTTTGGGGGGGATAGATTGATAAGGATGATGAGATGCGATGAGTGCAAGAGCACACATAATGAGCGAGCATTTTTCGCAAAAAAAAGAAAACCGAAGATAGCAAGAAAACAGCACCCTGTGACGTTTCAATGTTAGGTGATGGTGACAACAAGCGCTAGGCTAAGGCGCAGGTAACTTCGATTCGTACACAGAAATAAAACAGGATCATTGTATCGAATAGAAAAATAGGCAAGGAATGAGTAGCGTTGTTGATGAGAAATACACAGGACTGTTTCTAATGTGTTTTTGGATCTATAGAGAGAAACTACCTAGAATATACAAAATTTGATCGTAACGAAACTAGTCTATGGGGGGCGGGGGCGGATTGCGCACCTGTCCATGAATGTGGGCTTGCAGATTTTGTCCGTTACACAAGGCTATCAGTTCGTCGTTTGCTTTTGTATTCCGAAACGTATGATGAACAAAGCACAGAATTGCACTGGAGTAGCAGCGGAGTTTGTGTGTGTATGTGAAGGGGTATCAGCAGCTCAACTGAGAGATGTACGTTTGATGCCCGTGTATGTGGCAGGGGCCGCACCGGGCACAGCTAGCGTTCCTTCGTCCTCTTCGCGACCGTAGACAACAAGTCCATGGAGGGTAGGATAGGATTGTGAGTTGGGCGGATTACGACTTGCAGGCAAAGGACCGTCTGAAAAAGGAACGATAAAAAGAGTGACTCAAATTTGCACAGTGCTCCCGTGATGCGGTCACAAGCAGACGATCTATCCATAAAGCCCAAGGTGAATTTCGACTCATTCAGATTTGAATACTTGTCGTGTCTGGTGACTTATCACCAGAAAGTAGACGCGGGTTGGATATAACTCAAAATCAGAACTACACATAACATGAGCGCAAAGACACCGGAGTTTAGACCCTAACCACTGACCTCCAGTTTACCGTAGAGGTATGTCCTGAGGCAAGCCGCTCTGAACAACCTAACATCCCGAGCCAGCGACCACATGAGGACACGCACTGATTGGCCATAATGGGAGCCAATCGGAACCGGATTGAGCATTATTATCATGGTGTTCCTTGTAACCTCATAAGATTCTAGCGTGATTCCGTGGAAACTCCAGTAGTATATCCATTATTACGGTTGTAGCAATTTTCCCTAGTCTCCATAAAGGTCTGTCTTAAGCTACTTTTTGATAACTACATTGGGAGGAACAGGAAGCCAAGGATAGTTAGAAAGAGACAACAAAGTGCAAACTGATCTATCGAGGACGCTGATTCTCCACCATGCAGTTAAGGTGCGAGTGGGAGCAGTGAGCTTCAATAGGATAACGATACTCAGAAGGTTCTGATATAAACTGGCAGACGAAAATTTGTTGGAGCAACTGTTGTTCAGCAAACCAGAGGCAGGTCGCATTTGAGGTTTAACTGCACATGCACCACACAAAGAGCAAGTGTCTTCGACAGCCCAGCTGGTGGAGCACCCGTCTGAAAGACGAGAGGCAGGTGGTTCCAATCCATCATCAGGCGTGTCGTTCTGTTCATGCTATGTGTACTTAGTGATCTCATTACATCTTGATATATATGGGATAAAGATGCTGTCATAGTATGTGGCATGCCGAGCGATGAAAAAAATCAACCAGTGCTCCGTTATGACCAGTCATGAAGTAAGAATAAGAGGACACATCAAAACCAAGCACCCACTTATTTTAGGCAAGCTCCTCGGGTTTGCTGCTTCAGTCGGGAACCCATCGTTCATCGTTGACGTAGCTGGAACTCTATCGTTTTCGGACTCGGAAGAGACACCACCGTTCTGCGTCTGATGATCGGAAGCGCCAACCACGGTCAAACGAACGGGATTTTCTAATGAAGACCCACGAGCTAACCAGGCTTCTTTGATACGAGCCAAAAGTTGACGTGGAGTGGTGTCTGAGTCTAAGAGAAGAAGCAGTTTGTCATCCAATCCAAGGATTCTATCTCCAACTCTAAGAGGAGTCTGTGAAGCCACTGAATCAGGCATAATCCGCACTATTACTGGACCGCTAATTCCATGGGCCTTCGCAAGACGAATCCCTAGGGTAGACCCCGGCAATGCTGGAGGCAAACAGACTTGTCGAACTTGAAAACCCGCTGCCGAGCGTTGAGCGATTTGACCAGCTTCGTCAGTAGAACTGATGCTGGATGAGGTGGAGGAGAGATGAGTCTTCTTCGCTATGCTAAGATCGCCTGGATTGAAATTAGTACGCGGCTTCTCTTCCTCTAGTGTATCCATCGATCGCACACCAGGAGGTGGTTCAATGATGGGCATCTCCACATCAAAAATCTCCGGGAGTTCTACTGAACAAGGGTAGGGAGGCTGTTCGTCTTGGGGGAAACAGGCGGTTGAAAGACCAGGATCCACGGGGTACGGTGCCACAGGTAGTCGACCGAGTTCTAAGGTACATTCAGTCAAACCGGACAACAGACTAAAAACTTCATCTGGTCTTAGCCAGTCAACAGGTTCACGGTCAACCGTCAGAAGTCGATCACCTGGCTGAAAGAAATGGAGGGAGGAGGCTTTCAAAATGGGTATACGTTGTACATTTTCAGAGGGGTGCAACGATGACTAACTTAAAAGGTTTACGTTTGACCAGGCACATGCAAAATGAGAGATGGATAACCGTCATCAAAAACTTTCTTTGAAGGTCATATATGCATATTCTTTGTATACAGTCTACATCTTCCCCACCTGATGGTCATAATATAGATAGACAATGTCGAGAGCAGCCCAGAGTTTCACTGAATAAAGCGAATATAAAGCAATACCATATGAGAGCCGATGCAGCCCAGTGCTCTATTCCCTCGCATTCACCCCATCCTACACCAGAGAGCGCGGACCCCCAGGGAACGGCCAATCATCCTCTTTCTTGAGGCGCTCTCCGTTGATGAGGGGGTGCACGCTCTAAGTCGTTTTTGTGAGACTTTTCCCCGCTGAGCTAGAGAACAACTGATACAAATGGAAACGCTTTAGGGCGCTTTTTAATTTTTTGCCCGATGTAAAACTGGACGGTAAAACTGAAAGCAATGAACGGGAAAACAGTTGAATGCCGCTATTGTCGCACTGAATGGATTTGGTCATGTTCGCATTTGGAGGTTGGTAAACTCTAAAAGAAAAACAAACGGGGCTCGCAGTGTACATTCACATTCAGTGTACATTCACGCTGCGGAACTGTCTAGTACCGCGTTGATTTTTAGACATTGCAATCCTTTTTGGGCACACAGACTCGTCAGTGGATATTCTACATAAACATAATAAAACGTCTCCATGGTACAGAACTACACGAATGGATTCTACTCGGTACCATCGTCTCTACCATGCACTATACATCTGAAGAAAAAAGGTTCAAACTTTTCAATGGGATCTCAGTGGGTGCAGATACACACCTATCCCAGAGCTGCTTGGTTATGAGGGTGTCTAACACGGTTAACTTTTGGCATTCAATTTTGATACGTACAAAAAGCGTGGTGTCTCACAAAATAAGCTCGTTCCTTTCTTGCTGTAGTCTGATAAATATACGAGCATTCTGCGATGTTAGGTCCGACAATTGAATTATAAAGTTCACACACTGAGATATAACTTGATTGATTCAATGGCATCTAAACCAATGGACAATCGTTCTTGTCACCCCATCTTGGCAGCTAAGCCCGTAGTTTTTAGTACCGGGTGGCATACGGAAGGCCACACAATCATAAGTTCACATACTCCTGGCACACTAAAGAAGCCGAAACACACAATACACACGACAGTAAAGAACGGAAACTTAGCCAGCAACACGTGGAGGAAAGCGAGAAGACTGTGGCGTAAGCGAATGTGATAAGTGTCAACGGAGACTGATCAAAATCATATGGCATCGTCCTTCACGCACTCAGTCGCATTTAGTTTGCGAATCTTTGTTAGTCCAAACCTCAAGACGATTCGTTCAACCGGTGCTCCGTACTTCAATCGCCCGTTTTGGACACACTGGGCCGGTTAACGATTGAGTTAGACGGGCAAACGGTGGGATGCAATCAGCTCGATTCTGGTTTACGTGTAACGAGAGACAATCCATTCATTCCAAATAAGCTCAAACCAACCCGGAAAAATACCGGATCAAGAAACTAACCTGAATCATGATCGACAAGGCGGCCGGACTACCTGGTAGGATATCCTCAACAATCAAGTTGCCCCCAGTCTCCAACACCTCTTCCGGCGAGGCCTGACGAATGGAAAGACCGAAACTAGAATCTAGATTGCTTGACCCAAGCAATGCGTGCTGAAAACCGATTGTTCGCGACGCTTCCTGATCGGATCGACGCAGCACGACCACGTACAGTTTTAGACGGTGTGATGGAACGGCTGGAAAGAGAACGGAAAATATGGAAGTCGAATATCTATGGTCAGGGAAACAAATCATGCAAACGAGCCTCCTCAGTACATATACCGGCAAACAAACAGGCAAGTGTGGGGAAAATGATGACCGTACACGCGACTAGTGCGACTACTTACCACATGTTATGAAGAGGGCCCATTCTCCTGGACTGTTTAAAGTCTGACTGGCATGGAATTAACAATAGCACCATTGATAAGGTACAAGGAAACGAAAAGACGTGGCCTACAACAGTCTTTTTTTCAACAACGACAGCAACAGTCTAGTCAGCCATTGAGTTGTGTAGGGCAGCCAGAGACAGTTTCTTTTCTGTACAAATATGAAAGACAGGTAGGTGGTTGGCTGGGAATGGTGTATATGCAATGAAGGGTGTGGAGGACTCTACTGTATGTACATCGCATGCAACCTCGCGAATCCCACTAGCACCGCTAAACATGCAGCACTGCCGAAATGAGTGCCACTTTTCGATGTTATGAACATCGTGATCACAACAATAAACGGACCGGACACAAGCGTGCCACCAACGAAATGGTAGAGAGGCAGACGCATGCACAAGTTCCATTGTTTTAGCACAACAGAGGGGGAGAGGGAGGGAAGTGAAAATAAAACCAGAGAACATTATTGCGGATGAATAGTGACCAGTTCTGGAAAATTATTTCAAAAAAATACGCAACTGAGGTGTCCGGAAAAGACAACCTGTTGAGTGGTTGAATGCGGAGAAACGGCAGTGGATAAGGAGCGGATCTGCGGCACACACTATTCGCAAACACTGTGGATAGAAATTAACAAGTCAATTAATGCCTGTACGGAGCACAGACTGCATCAAGAGGTGCCTGTCCGTCCGGCTTGCACCAAGGCAGAGTTGAACTGATGGCCGCTGATTTGTTTGCTGAGTTAGACAATTTGGTTACAAACACTGCAATCGAGATGAGATCATCAGTACATTCTTAGTGAAAGTGTCTTCTGAGTGGAAATGCGTGTTCTTTTTGTGCGCACATAGCTCGATATAAGGCCTATTTATCTTGGCCGATCGTGGGTAGTTGATGTGAGCATTTCTACGATGGAACACTTGAAACCAAACTGCTACGCTAACTAAACAAATCAACGGCAATCAGTAAAACTTGAGTTACCAAAATTATCTCCAATCGCAGAGTTGAGCTGTTGACCATACTTAGGCCAATAATTCAGAAGCCGATTGAATACAAAACTAGGGAAGAGTATATGGATCAAGACACGAGATCTCCAACAGAGCCTTACAGTATACGTCTTACATCCATGGAGCGTCCCAGCAAGGAGACTTACAATCTGGCAGTAGCTCGTCACTCTTGCTTCTACTGTTGAAGATGAGACCGATGTGCACCAACAAGACGCTACAGCATAGAGAAATCAACTTGAAAAAGCAACTTGAAAAGCAAGTAAGCCGTTACCAAAGTTCTTTGATAATGAAGCGTTAGTGAACGTCTTTCCTGTGTTGTAGGTCCTAGAAAAAAAGGTCTGAAAACTAACAAACCAAAAGACAAGGTCTAACACAATTAGAAGGTACCGATAGAACCAGCTCAGTAGCAACGTTCTCAAACAATAACAGTCACGTGATAGCCTGTCAGCCGCTGATGAAGCTGAAGCCAGCTTGAATAGAATCTCCGATTGCAATTCTAGATTTTGATCGCGATGACTTCGGAGCCTGTCTTTTGGTTGGACTACATTGGTTCCTCGTGAAGTCAAAACAAACAACCCGTCTTGAGAGGGTGATTATTATCCAGAAAACACTCAATATGCATGGGTGGAATTATACATCTTTTCAACAAAACAGGGGATCGAACCGTACACGTGGCACAATATAGAAACCGCTAACAACCTGGACAAATTTATAGTGAGAGATTCACACCACAAATAACACGCTGATAACACAGCCAGCTTACGCGGAGGATGTGTTGGGTGACTGGAAGGTGGCTCACGTTGAACCTTGAGTCTAACTTCTCCGGAGGCAGCCTAAACAAACAGAACACATGGGTAAATTGTAGCATCGTCATGTCAAGTAGAGGTCTAAGTAATGTACAATAATTCAATGTGAAAAGGTTTCATTTCCCTAGAGAATGCATAACACTGTTCTCCAACAACCATGGACATCAATATCAGTGATCACGATGACGTTTCACTGTCGCACAAATAAAGACCTCTCATTTTACTCTTCCACTGCACCAATGAAAAGAAGCCACGTTCTCCCAAAAAAGCAGGCCAAATATTCCTCTCCTCTGGTGAACACACCTGGAGGATGGAGGATGTTCAGTCGAACACAATAGTACTACCAAGTGGATGTTATAACATCATAATAAACTCACTTTGAAAGCTGCGGCGACCTCTTGATATTGAGCGAGTCGATAATCAAGGCCATTAATTTCCAAAACAACATCACCAGGCTTCAGTAAACCACATTGTGCGGCAGGTGTGCCAGGAACCTACCAAAGAGAAAACGACAGGACTTTTCTTGTATCAGATAAGCGCAATTCGTCAGTCAAGCGTCGGTGTTGAACACTGACGTCATGCTGTCGATGGGATTCATCAGAATAGAACACCCGGTAAGGTTGGATTCAACAACTTCTCGCTAAGAACAGTGAACAGAAAGCTGACCTTGTAGGAACCCAAATCGTCCAGTTTTGATACGGTTGGAAGCACAAATTACTGCGCAAACCAAGGAGGCAGGGATGAATACAGTTCACTGATTAAAATGGCATCTTTGCTGGAGGTTGGAAGGTGGTGCTTTACGACAGCGGCCCAAAACGCAGGTCTGTCCACTGCGATTAGGACTGCGAAATGAGTGGTTTCGCCCAAAATGCTTCAATTACCGCCGTAACACACTTGTACTGGGTTCTCAACAGCGCAACAAGGATGAATTCCGCAGCATCCTGCGAAAAACCATTGACAGAAGCGCTAACAGCTTCTGGTGGCTGGGTTGCTTGTACCGGATTCACGCGTCATGTAATTGAAAGTACGGTAGAGGCACTTGTCGCTAAAACTACGTCGGGGCGTGTTGGCCTCAAGCGCTTGTATGTTATCAATATATGCTTCCAACACTCTGACAAGCACCAAAACGACATCCACACCAGCTCACCAGATGGACTATGTATTAGCGCGGTCTGGATGAGCATCGAATATGAAGGATTACCGTTTCTTTCGTGGGAGTGGAAGCAAGTAACCGAGGAGGAGCGATTGCCAGAATACATGCCAGTCCCCATCTAACGCAATCTGTAGAAAGCTTGAAGCTTGGATACACACCTTCATACGAGGACCGTCGGCTGTTATATTTCGCCTCCAAAAAACGACAGTCCACGAATCGATCGACGTGTAGGTGAGATGGCTTACAAGAGATTACTACTACCCTTCACAACTACTGACCGAACGATTGTGCTTGATGATTTCAATATAGTGGGGATGCCAAATGTTACAGTCTATGCCGCTCGCACTGAGCACTTGGGGAACCACACTAGGCCTTCACAATGGTCGGACATTGGAACTCACTACCTAACCAAAATAAGGAGGAATCATTGCCGCACAAGCAACACAATCCGTCAATAAAGACCGGGATCGCAAAGATACGGACATGGCCGCTGGTAGGGACGTCGTAGCGGTTGTTGGTGAACACAAGAAGCTACTTTTCCTTCAGCGGCAAACATGCCTAAATCGTCCCGCATACTTAAACGGTGGGAGCCATCCACATAAAAAAAAGCCAAACATCCAGTAACTTCTCCACTGCATCTTTTTATGGTTTCTCCTGTTCGGTCTGGGATGGCTCAATAGTCTCACCTGAATGAAGCACCTCTGTTTGTCTGTTTGTGATAACTATCGTGACACCCCAGCTCAAATGGGGCAGCTCTCAGTCCAGACTGCACCGTTCAAAATTGTCTTATTCTGGAACAGTGTTGCCAATATGAACATGCAACTTTTATGGGCTTTGCTTTCGAATATGTTCCGCCTTCATGAATTAAAACAGCTAATCTGGTTGTTGACGCAAAAGCATGACTCCGTGTATATGATGAAGAGTCATCAATCCTAGTTCTGGCATGCACGCCTAACATCGTGCAGCTTCGGAGATGATTGAAGCACGCTGTCGAATGGGGCTATCAAATGGGTGAAAAACAAAGTGTGTCGATCGGGGACAAGCCTAAGGTCCCTGCTGATAACCGCGGTCTACGTAAGGTCCTTAACTAAAACTACTGGTGTATTTTTACCGTCAGGGTAGTGTCCCAGAAATCAATGTGTTCCCCATCTGCATCCAGTTCTGGATGACCATTTATAAAGAATGCACATGAATCAATGACATCCCAATCAAATACGCCGAGCACGAAGCCATAATCTGCCTGAAACAAGCATGGGTAGCGCTCAGGTAAATTAGGTACGTATTGTGTCACAGGAGAGGACTAGCTTGACAAAGGATCTACCATCCAATCTACCCTACTTAACACCTATGAAGCCTGGTGAACACGAATATTTTGGACTCATGCGGTGGAATATTATCGGGATACTGTCGAGTCATCAACCTCAACCCTCGGATGGCTAACCAAGCAAAGTCAACTGGAATGAATTTGAAACTTTCTTCACCGTCCACATAACAATATAAACAGAGTAGTGGGAACTCTGAAAATACGCCAAGATTGGCATTTTAGTCGGCCGGAAACCTGAGCAGACATCGCTAATTCGTTTGCTGAACACCCGCACTTGTCTGTTGTGTACAGCCTGAGGCCAGATAAACCGAAATTTGTCTGAATACTACAGGCGAACTCATAGCCGCGGTTCAAGACGCCGACTCAACTTCAGGTGAGAAACAAAGTAAAGTAAACAGTGGGCAATACAAACATCTTTACATTTCCATACATCGCATCGGGGTTCCATCAATTCTGTTCAGCTAGTGGAGCGACGAGTGTCTGAAGAAGGGGGAAGTCAAGACAGAGACGGCTCTGAAGGAAGACGCAAGCCAAAACACGTTCCAGAGAGCATAGTTGCTCACCGCAGTGCTAAGCTTTCAATGACTAGCTGCTATGCCACCCGAAGAAAGCATGAGGGCTAGGATACTGTCAGGTCGCTCAAGCCTAGACAGGAGAAGTCGAGATGCAGAGGTGGGGTTCGAACCACGGACCTTCCGGTCAGTAAATCCGCGCTCTAACCATTGAGCCATCTAGCCCGAAGAAAATTTCGAAACTAACTAGCACCATCGTCGCATTTTACCCAAGCAGACATATGCTTGTTTTACGGAGCGGGGAGACACATGTGTATGCAGCAAGGTTGATCTCACTACACGCAGATGGTTGATAACGAAGGTCTAGTCGAAAGAAGCGAAACCACAAAGACAGACCACACATTTGAGATGTTCGGACTTGATAGATCTACTTCTGATTAATTTAACATCATTTAATCACAGGAGAAAAACTTACAATCGCAGCGATGGCGGTGCCCGTGCTATAGGGTGAGCGACCGAAGAGCGACAAGCCAAGGCTTTCACCTGGTTTTCGCACTATCGTCACCTCAATTTCCTGTGGTTGTTCTGTTTCCCCGAGACATGTCGGAGGCTCTCGATAAATGAGAAGACGAAGGGAATCACCTGCATTTCGGATTATCTGCAGAAATAGGAAAATGATTCATAGGATTTTATGTATAGGTTAAAGTGTGCGAACGTGACAGAAAGATCCGGACCACCTATGAGGCACTGCTTACCTTCTTTCCGGTTTCATGATCAGCGTCACGTAGATCGACGCCATTGACCGCTAAAAGTCGATCACCAACAGCAATACGACCGTCTTCAGCAACAATGCCATCGTCATGTACTGCATGAACAAGGATTCCCCCCTAGATGGAATAAAACGTTGAGACAACAATAGAGGCGGAAGTGTACGTATCAACGGAGTGTAATCAAAAACTTGACGCTAGAGAAGTTGGGCACACCTGCTTGTCTCAGTTAACAATACAGAAGGTAATTACGGGAACTCTCAAACGAAAGTCAGAGACAAAAAAGCGCATCCTTTGGTTGAAAAACAGTTATCTGCAGAGCTATTTCATAGAAGATCTTCAAATTGTACTCCCAAAGCATGATACCAAGAAGACGGTAATCAGGGCTGAACAGCTGGTTTTATTAAAGCGACCCTGTTAGAGGAAACACCTTTTGGGATTCCAAGATGTCTCCGAGATGGACGTGTCTGTGACGGAGGACGATCAATAACTACTGAATTCTGCATTGAGGCAATAAATTTGCATGGATACCCTCGTGGTCTAAACGATTTTCTAAAAGCGAGCTAGAAGTTTCCATTTTCTCTGAAGTGAAAACTCCATCTGTTCAATAATAACGCAAGTTTTGGTTAGCACATACTGGAGCGGCATGATGAACCTGTGTAATGGTTGTCGGCTTCATTATTGAGAACTAGGACTTTCTCCTACACTTTCTTCACTAAAATCAAACGAATGAAAATAAACACGACAAAATCTCCGGAGGATGTATTCCGGCATAGTAACAAAAAAAAAACAAGCCTTCTTAGAAGCGGTATTTAATGAGTATGTCGGGAGTCAGATTTAGAAAGTTTAACTGTTTTCATTCCGTAAGTGAAGTCAAACTACATCAACAGACCTGGAAGATCTAGGAAGATTCGAACCAGCTCCATGTTACGCCAAAAGCCACAAGTGGTTGACTAAAAGTGCTAGAGCAGCCCGATAATGACTTTGCGGGTAGGACTCGGAAACATAAGCTAAACAGCAATTAGTTTGACCAGCTGAACCTGCTCGAGAAAAGTAGTACACTATGCTGCAAACCATTTTGTCTCAAATTCGTCAGTGTACGCCTTGCTTCTACAAATCCGTGGACTACTAGATGCACAGAACAGACGTCCTGGCGTTTTCTGCACTGAGATAACTGTTTTCGATCGATATTACTAGCGACATAATCAGTAGACAAACATAATTAAACAGGTCTTAGAGACCAACGGTAAACTTAGGGTGTCATAGGAACAATAAGAGCGATTTACAATTTTTGTTAACCTACCAACACAGTGTCCTTCCCACCGACCACCGAAAAGCCCCAAGAGCTTCCTGAATGACGAGTGAGTTCAACAAGGGTCTCTCTGCCAGGTATGATGGGTGGTGGTTTGGGGCGCTCCAGAGGTACGTTCGTCAAAGCACTTGGAGCTGGTGACGATGTGGCCACGGGTTTGGTGACGGCCTTGCTAGGTGATTGTGTGGCCGGTTTTCGGCGTGCAATTGTCAGACGAACACGTGTGGTGGACTGTTTCATCAAGGACAGCGTTGAGTCGTAATCGGTTTGGATCTGACCATTCACAGCCAGTATCCGATCGTTGGGGCACAGTTCACCATGCTAAGATGTAAGCAGAGAATGACTTGGGTGAAATTTGATGTTACACGTCCAAATGGAAATCAAGATGAAAGGCCGGCCTCCACTGGTAACGTGTAGTCCACCAGTGAGAGAACAGATTGTTATCTCATCAAGTTGAATGCACTAGAGTTAGCAGGCCTTTAGTAAAGGGAAGTATCAAAGTCTTATACAGTTTACACCAGACATGACAGGAAATGGGTCGGAAAAATAGTTACCTGAGCAGCCGCACCGTTTGGAGCCAAATCGGACACGAACACACCGGGCTTGTCTTGTGGTCCATAATTCACAATGAAAATTCCATATCCGTTGCTATTCTGGTTGTTCGTTAAGAAAGACGGACGATACAATTTTTTCAAAGATCAAAGAATTCGATGCAAAGAGCGGCACAAATTACTTAATATTCCAACTCTTCGTGCACAACGTGGTTTATACCACTAAGGAGAAACACATAAACCTGGCTATTCCAACATGAACGTGCAAACCCTAGAGTGGACCCTGACTTGTTGCCCACCAGCGTATTTCGTAACACGCAGTAAGAAAGAACTACAAGGTTACAGATATGTTTATAAGTAACGCAATAAATTCTATCCAATGTTGGGCCTGCAGAACTGCTTCTGATTTCGAAGCGCTGAGATCTACTCTTAAGTAATCCGCTATCGTGTTG